GGGGGGGGGGGGGGGGGGGGGACTGAGTTTCAGCACCCGGACTCCATCCTAAGTTCTAAACACACCTGGACGGAGGCCCAGGGAGGACAGACAGCCGGACCACGCCAGGCCTCACCCGGCCAGGGAGCACAGGCCGGCCCCACCCCAAGCCAAACACGAAGCCAGATAAAGGAGGCTGGGGATCCAGCCTGCCCAGCAAGGCCGGCCCTGAGCTCACGTTCCCTAGGCCTCCTGTCATTGTCTGCCCCTCGGGACTCAAACTCATGTCCCCACAGCTTCACTGTCTCAGTCACTGCTCACAGCGGTGCCTCGACCACCTGAGCCAGGCCTCCCTGCTAGCCTCAGGCTGGCTAATTGGACGGAGATTAGAGTTGAGCCTCCAATCCGGCTCCTCTAGGCCTCAGCCTCCAGAACAGAGCCGTGTGGGCCTGGGTCTCTAGGGTGTGTCCTGCTCTGTGGTTTTCTCCTGCTTTTGTTTGATGGCTGTGATGCTGGGCCCTCTCGCCCAGGCCTTGAAGAACTTCCTCCTGTCCTGCGCCGGCTGGTGCGTGGTGACCTTCCTCCTGGGCGTGTGTGACCGGCACAATGACAACATCATGCTCACCTCCGCCGGCCACCTGTTCCACATCGATTTCGGGAAGATCCTGGGTCACGCTCAGACCTTCGGGGGGGTCAAAAGGTCAGTGCACAAGAGCGTCTCACACCCAGCATGCCTCACTCCTACCCAAAAACCAGGCCGGTGGCTCCCGCCTGTCATCCCAGCTGCTCAGGAGGCTGAGATCGGAGGATCCCGGTTCAAAGCCAGCCAGGGCAGGAAAGTCCATGAGACTCTGATCTCCCATGAACCACCAGAAAACCGGAAGTGGCGCTGTGGCTCAAGGGGTAGAGCACCAGCCTGGAGCTGAAGAGCTCCATACTCTGTGCCTGAGTTATGAAACTGGGACTCCTCTGTGTTTAGCATTTTCAAGTTAAAAATAATAATAACAATAACAATCATAGTGATACAAAGAGAGAGGAGGGGGAGGGGAGGAGAGAGAGGAAGAGGAGGAGGAGAGGGAAAGAGGAAGAGGAGGAGGAGGTTGAAGAGGAGGAAGAGGTTGAAGAGGAGAAGGAGGAGGTTGAAGAGGAGGAGGGGGAGGAGGAGGAGGGGGAAGAGGAAGAGGAGGAGGGGTTGAAGAGGAGGAGGAGATTGAAGAGGAGGAGGAGGAGGAGGGGGAGGAGGAGAGGGTGGTTGAAGAGGAGAAGGAGGGGGGGGTTGAAGAGGAGGAGGAGGAGGAGGAGGAGGAGGAGGAGGAGGGGGAGGCTGTCTTCCATGGAAGGCCTGATCAGGGAGGCTCAGCTTGAGAGGCTGGGGTCCCCCAGGGGGGCTGAAGCTGCTGGCCTGCATCTCCTGAGCTGCCCCAGGACCACAGAGGCTCCTTCCCAGTTCACTCCGGGTGATGAGTCGGGAGACCGGGTTGATGGTGCTGCGCGGCACACCGTGGCTCTCCACAGTGTAGGTCGCCCCTGGCAGCTGCAGAAAGAGCGAGCTGGGCCCCCAGCTCGCCCCACGGGGTGTCTCCTGTCAATCACCACACCCCCAGGGCCCCCAGACACGCCTCCGACGCCCAGAAGCCTTGCAGACAGCCCAGCTTCACGCCACGTTGGCACCACGTTCCGTTTGCAAGGCATCCGTCTGAGGCCAATAATAGGAATCATCTGAAATGCATGCACCTGATGCAGATACATTTCAAGACTAATAACAATTAGTAATCATCTGAAATGTACCTGTCTCATGCAAATACATTTTAAGAATAATAATTATCTGAAATGCACGCACCTGATGCAGAGAAATTTCAAGACTAATAACAATTAGTAATCATCTGAAATGCATCCGTCTGGTGTAAATACAGTTCAAGAATAATCATTTGAAATGCACGCACCTGATGCAAATAAATTTCAAGAAGAAGAATAATCTGAAATGCATCCACCTGGTGCAAATAAATTTCAAGAGTAATAATTACTTGAAATGCATCTGTCTGATGCAAATAAATTTCAAGACTAAGAGTAAGAATCTGAAATGCAACCACCTTATGCAAATATATTTCAAGAATAATAATAATACTAAGTTGAAATCAATTTCAGAAATAATAATAACAACAACAGTCAGGCGCCGGTGGCTCACGCCTGTTATCCCAACTACTCAGGAAGCTGAGATCTGAGGATCACAGTTCAAAGCCAGCCTAGGCAGGAAAGTCTGGAAACTCTTAACTCCACTAAACCACCAGAAAACCGCAAGTGGTGCTGTGGCTCAAGTGGTAGAGCACCAGCCTTGAGCTGAAGAGCTGAGGGACAGCGCCCAGGCCCAGAGTTCAAGTGCCATGACCAACAAAATAATAATAATAATAGTAATATAAAAACAACAATAATAATAAGTGTGCCTGATTAGTGAGTCCCACATTGAAATTCAGGGTACAAAATCTACCACCCACACTCTCCAGTCTTTCAATCCTTGTCCTTAAGTGTGCAGATTTAATCAGTCACTTTGTGAAAGGAAGAAAAATTAATGTTCATAGAGTCCTGCTTAGTCTCTTGCTCAATTTCCAGGGGGAGGAAATACATATACATATACATATATATATACTTGACTCTCCATTTCCTGACCTCTTTATTCATTCCATAATTATTTCAATACCTCTATCTTTTTTATTTTCTTTTTTGTCCATCATAGGTCTTGAACTCAGGGCCTGGGTGCTGTCCCTGAGCTCTTTCACTCAAGGCTGGTGCTCTACCACTTGAACCACAGCATCACTTCTGATTTTCTGGTGGTTCATTGGAGATCAGAGTCCCACAGACTTTCCTGCTTGGGCTGGCTTTGAACCGTGAGCCTCAGCTCTCAGCCTCTTGAGTAGCTGGAATGACAGGCGTGAGCCACCAGCACCGGCCAACACTTTCTAATAGCCAATTTGGGGCGATTTTCTTCTCTTAAGCCATTGAATGCTCAACTCTTCAAGATTCATGTTAGTCCTTCCTGGTGTCCCTCCACTGTCCATCAAACTTTAAGCCAAGACTTCAGCCAAAGTCTCTATCTAGCTAACTCACAGGGAAAAAAATATATTATGAACATCTTCAGAGGTAATTGTAGATTCACATGGAAAAGAAATAATACCAAGAGACCTGGAATTCCCAGCTGATAATGTATAGAATTTATAGACTTTACTTCTGGAATGTATAGAATTACATTAGAGAATTAATGTGTAGCATTTTGACAGAACTTCTAGAATTCCCTGTTAATTTCTGGAATTTAGAGAGCCGTATTATTTTTACAGAATTTATAGGATTGAATTTAGGGAATTATATGCTAAGGATCACAAGCAGAATAAAGCCAAGTTGTATCTCTACCAAGTTGTATCTGCTCCTCTTTCCTGCCCTCCATTCCTCCAACGCTGTGATTTTGTGATTTCTAGAATCATCTAAGCATGGAATTACATCCCCATGGACTGTGTGGAGATTGATATTTTTCTCTGACAGCGTGTTCATCCACGCTGTGGCATTTTCGAATCAAATCTAGGCCTTTCTAGGGACAAATAAGATTTCATGACATGACCTACCACTGTTGGATTGGCCTTTCCTCTGTGGGCAGACGTCTGGACTTTATTTTTAAGTTTTTTGAGTTCTTTTGTTTTTTCAGTCTTGGGGCTTGAACTGGGGGCCTGGGCACTGTCCCTGAGCTTTTTTTTTTCTCAAGGCTGGTGCTCTAACACTCGAGCCATTACTCCACTCCTCCAGGTTTTTGAGGCCTTGGCCATTCAGCTGCAATGAGTAATTCAAGGATGGTTTGATTGAACCCACATTACCATTCCTCTTGGATACATAGGCAAGACCGAATGGGCGCCGGTGGCTCACACCTGTCATCCTAGGTACTCAGGGAGGCTGAGATCTGAGGGTGGCAGTTCAAAGCCAGCCCGGGCAGGAAAGTCCATGAGACTCTGATCTCCCATGAACCACCAGAAAACCGGAAGTGGAGCTGTGGCTCAAAGGGTAGAGCGCCAGCCTTGAGTGAAAGAGTTCAGGGACAGCGCCCAGGCCCTGAGTTCAAGTCCCACGTCCAACAAGAAAGAATTAACAAGTTGATGCCCTGTGGATGGACACAGTAGCACCTAACGTAATCTTCCCCGTTGTGTTGGGGTCCTCTCTGCCCATTGCGGGCTCTCCAGCCGTTTCTGCACCTGAGCGCTCTCTAGTGTCCTGATTGCCTTTCTCTCTCGTTTCCAGGGACCGGGCTCCTTTCATCTTTACTTCGGAGATGGAGTACTTCATCACAGAGGGCGGGAAAACCCCACAGCACTTCCAAGAGTTTGTGGAGCTCTGTTGCAGGGCGTACAATATTGTCCGAAGGCACAGCCGACTGCTCCTGAACCTTCTAGAAATGGTAAGGTGGCACAAGTCCCTCCCCCAAAAATGAGTTCTGTGGGTGTCTCTCTTTCACCAGTCCATTTTTGCTGAGGGCTTGGAGTTCCCCGTCCACCCCCCTACACACACACACACACACACACACACACACACACACACAGATCTAAAGCAACGAACATACACAGGAAAGTCTGTGAGACTCTGATCTCCAATGAACCACCAGAAAAAGTGGAGCTGTGGCTCAAGTGGTAGAGCACCAGCCTTGAGTGAAAGAGCTCAGGGACAGCGCCCAGGCCCCGAGTTCAAGTCCCAGGACTGACAAAAAATACAAAAGGAAGAATGCCTTCAGTTGTATTTTGCGTGAGAATTTTGCACAAATGCCTTTACACACTCTCCCGTTCATACATCATCCGCCAATCTTACCATGTTGAATTTTGCCTGATTCTCCGTTCTGATCTCCGATCTATCTGTTCATAATGCAGATACGTGGAATTTAATGCTTTGTGGTTTATAATGGCCACAAAGAAAAGTCTACAAAAGGACCAACTCCACCATCCAACTCTCTCCTCTCTCCAAATAATAAATAATCCAAGTAGCATTGACTCTGACCTCTGACTTCTGAGGTCAGAAGTAAGCATGTCTGGCTAGATTCCAGAAAGATCTAGAAAGATCCATAAGCCTAGTAGTGCTCACGATATGCCAGAAACTGTAGATTACACATCCACTTTCAAGACACAGTCTTCAAAATTTTTCCCACTTAATAAAGACGATGAAATTGGTGCCTTCAAGTAATATTTCTAAATAGCTATGTTAAAAAAAAATACATCAAAGACGTAGTTCCAAATTTTAACCACCACCTCCACTAGCTACAGAAATTTAAAAAAAAATAAAACCTAAAGCAGAAAAGTACAAATATTGTCTCTGGGATGACAATAAAATTGAGCTGCACAATAATTGAGCAAGCTAAAGGAAAATTTTTTTAAGTCAGCTTGTCGAGAAGAATTCAGAATGCTATTTTTTTTCTGTTTAATATATTTTCTACCTGGCATTAAGAAAAGCTTCAACGTACGATTTATGGTAGATTAAGCCGACACTTGAGTAAAGAGTTGGGGGATATTAGTTCATTTAAATAAAGTGGACCTTATGGTATTTTAACCACCATGATAACAATAGATCTCACAACTACTAAAGCTTAGCTGTTTTGAAGTTGCCGGCATAGAATATATCAGATATCTGGGTGTATTCTAATCGAACCAACTCTGAGTCCTAAACGAAGGGGAAATACGGATTCTCCTGTGTGTTAACACTACCTCGGCCTACTACTCAAGAATTGACTTACCAGTTAAGAGCGATTATCTGTGAGTGGCCGTTTCTATCATCTGTGAACCGTCTGTATTGTTGATTATGAATCGCAGTCATTCGGGAGATCTTTATTATTATTATTATTAACAGAATGATTATTATCATTAGCTTTAAGTTGATGGACAAGGGAGTTTCCCTTGAACCAAGCGGATTATAAATACAATGCATCTTGATCCACGATCCTCCTGATATCCTTGTCCCGTGGTCCTCCCTTCCCTACCCACGCCCTCTCTCTTTTCCCTCCCTCTTTTGTATTTTGTGGGACCCTCTCCCACCCTCCCTCTCCCCCATTTGGCAGCATCTGCCCTGGATTCTTGTCTGAGCAAACGGCTCTTCGTCAGAAGAAAGCACCTTATTCCCAGATATAGGTGGTGATTGCTTCTTGTTATTTTTATTATTATTATTTCCTCCTGGGAAAAATTATCTCTGGATTTCCCATCTTTCCCAAGAGTAAGTCTGGTGGCTGAGGTCGCTCGTATAAAAGCCTGAACTCCTTCAGGTGTTCTTGTATTAAAATAATAGTAATAATAATAATAATAATAATCCATCTCTACTCACGGAGCGCACAGGGATCATTGGCTTTGCTGGAAGTGATTATCACCGCCATTATTGTATTGTGTGTTCTCCGTGGGACTTCTAATTTCTCTACATGATTAAAAAATAATAATAAATCCTTCCTTCCTCATCACTATCAAAATAGATTTGGACATCCAAGGAGGAACAATACAGGTAGATGTCTGCGGAAACAAAATTAGGAGCTTTCTCTTGCCTTTAGAATATAATTTTTCATTTATAGATGCATATATTAATATTTATGCCTGTATGTATGTATGTATGTATGTATTATGCCAGTCCTGGGGCTTGAACTCAGAACCTGAGTATTCTCGCTCAAACCTAGCACACTACCATTCGAGCCACAGCTCCATGTCTGGCTTTTTGATGGTTCGTTGAATGTCTGGAGTCTCATGGACTTTCCTGCCCGGACTGGCCTCCAACTGTGATCCTCTAGATCTCAGCCTCCTGAGTAGCTGGGATGACAGGCGGGAGCCACCAGCGCCTGGCCTCAAATTTTGTTTCTAGAAGAATCCATTATTTCTTGATTTATTTTTCTCTCCCACAAAGAATTCCGTCCACTACCAAAGAGAACAGCATCCCTTTCCTTTCGAGTATGACTACGATGTCTTCCTGGAGATGGGCAGAGACTTCACAGAACGATTATAGCCTTGATCATTTTGTTGCTTTAATAATCACTACCCGAGGCTGGGCATCGGTGGCTCACGCCTGTCATCCCAGCTACTCAGGAGGCTGAGATCTGAGGATCGCAGTTCAAAGCCAGCTCGGGTAGGAAAGTCTGTGAGACTCTGATCTCCCATGAACCACCAGAAAACCAGAAGTGGCAGTGTGGTTCAAGCAGTAGAGCACCAGCCTTGAGCTGAAGAGCTCAAGGATAGCGCCCAGGTCTTGAGTTCAAGCACCATGACCAACAACAACAATAATAATAATACTTACTGCCCAATGGGGGGGGGAGGGAGAGAAGGAGGGCGTTGAACTCTTCTTCTGAAGGTCACAGGATGAAGAAGAAGAAGAATGAGCTTTGTATTCTTTCCCTGCACCCCATGGTATACCTGCATCTTGTGCACGGTGTGCTGGAGAGTTTGTCTCCTTGCAGATGAATGACATGTATATTTTGGGGATCATAGCGTGCAGCACATAAAGCTCATCTGATCTTCCCAAGATGCATGGCGTCAGCCTGCTCTGCTTTGAGACATGAAGATCTGAAAGGTTTCCCCGAAATCCCTGGGATTTTCCTGGGCAGAGCTGGGAAAACTAGCCTGGGAATGGAATTTCAGGCCTGGGCCGTTCCTCAGACTGCTGAGAATAAAATGCAGTTGTTTGGCGTGCAAACATTTTGCCGGTTACAGTGTGTGTGTGTGTGTGTGTGTGTGTGTGTGTGTGTGTGTGTGTTGGCTTTTTCCTCTTGTGGTTCTTTTTTTGTCCTGGGTCTTGAACTCAGGGCCTGGGCGTGAGCTCTTTCACTCAAAGCTGGTGCTCTACCACTTGAGCCACAGCACCACTTTTTCTGGTGGTTCCTTGGAGATCAGAGTCTCACAGACTTTCCTGCCCAGGCTGGCCTCCAACCGCGATCCTCAGATCTCAGCCTTGGACTAGCTGGGATGACAGGCGGGAGCCACCGGCCCCTGGTTCTTTTTGATACCTGTGGTTTGCCTCTACCTACCTCTGAAATTGGAGCCATTTGGAAGCAGGAACTTTCTCTCACATGCACAAACGTCCATAAACCTCAGGGTTTTATTCATCTGTCGGCCGAATGAACCGGGTGAATTTGATTTCCACTGGTGTTTATCGCTGCTTCGTTTTCCGTTTGGGATCAGATGTTACATGCGGGATTACCTGAGCTCAGAGGACCTGAAGACCTGAAATACGTCTATGATAATCTCCGCCCTCAAGACTCCGACCTGGAAGCCACCAGTCACTTTACCAGGTAAGGACAACCGTGCACCGGGACTACAGGTATGCGCACATGAGCTGGTACACAGTCTAGCCTATGAGGCAGGCTCGGGCTGCCCAGTTCCCTGGGAGGAACCTGTCCTGCGGGTGGTCAGTGGTGTCTTCATTTCCAGAGGTCACGCCCTGGTGTTGCAGACAGATTCTGTGCATGTTTTTTGCTTTGTTTTTTTTTCATAGCAGGGTTTTTGTTGGTTCAACAGCGTTTTCCATCTAGCAGATTGCTCAGCTCAAGGCCGTCGGAAAGAGCAAAGAGCTGACAAAAATAAATACATAAATAAAAATAAATCAGTTGTTGCACTTGAACTCTATCCAGAAAAACAATTTGGAGGAAAGAGATTTATGATGGGAAAATGATGCATTCCCTGCTTCCTTCCGAAAGACAATGCAGACAGTTGGCCATGCGGCCAGCGACCCGGGGCTGACTTTTTCTTCTTCTAACCTCTTTTTCTGTTTGTTGCTTTCTTTTTTTTTTTAATTAAGTAAGTCTAGGGAAATAACACCATTGTCCGGATGCAGGTGACAGTCAGTACAAGATACCTTGGACCTTTTCTGCTTGAGGACGTAGAGTGTCATTTCTGGCCTATTTTCCGTCTTCATCATTCATTTTATCCCATTGCTCTGTTGCTGGTTGCTGGGGTTTGAACTTAAAGCTGCCAGTCTTTCCACTTGCTTGCTCAGCCGGTGCTCTGCCTCCGAAACCATGGCTCCAGTCCTGCTTTTGGCTAACCAGTTGGAGATGGAGTCTCCAGGACGTTTTGATTTTCTGATCCACAGCCTCAAGAGTAGCTTGATTACAGGCGTGAGCCACTGGTGTCTGTCATTCAGTTCTGGTGGCTGTGGGGTTGAAATTCAGGGCCTAGGTGCTGTCCCTGAGCTTCTTTTGCTCAAGGCTGGTGCTCTACTGCTTGAGCCACAGCGCCCCTTCTGGATTTTTCTGTGTGTGTGGTGCTGAGGAATCGAACCCAGGGCCTCATGCATGCTAGGCGAGCACTCTACCCCTGAGCCACCTGCCCAGCCCTCTCTGTAGTTCTCATTATGTTGCTTAATAGCTGGCTAGCTGTTCTGCCTTTCTACCATGGAAGAATCTGGTTCTGAATTACCAAAGTTTCCGAGCTGCTTCATTTGACCTAAATATCAAGGCAGAATATGAAGCAATATGAAGCCATGTGGAGTACTTTGGGATGCTATCAGTCTAAAGGTTAAAAGCATTTGCAAAGTTTAATGGACCTATCAAGAATTCCAACACTCATTGGCTAAAAGATGAATCACCCACGCGTCTCTGAGTCTGGTCTGCTTCTAGCTACGGGACAAATCTGGGCATGCGCTCTGGCTCTTTCTGATCTATGCAGTGTGTACCACTGCTACGGTACGATGATTTAAGCTAAAGTGCCTGGCTATTTTGAAATACATGTTCATGTCTCAATAGCCTTAATGATTAATGTTCTGGGTGCGTGCTGGGCCTGGGGCTTGAACTCAGGGCCTGGGAGCTAGTCCCTGAGCTTCTTTTGCTCAAGGCTAGCGCTCTACCGCTTGAACCACAGCGCCACTTCTTCAATAGCTCTAATTATTATAAGATGGTTGATTTTTCTGTTGTTGCACATTAAGATGTGTGTGTGCGTGCACACATGCATGTGTGTTTGCCAGTACTGGAGCTTGAACTCAGGGCTTCATGCTCTTGCTTAGCTTTTCGCTCAAGGCTGGTGCTCTACTGCTTGAACCATGTCTCCAGGCTGGAGATAAGTATCTCAAGACTCTGTTGTGCCTGGGCTGGTTTTGAACCTTGATCCTCCGATCTCAGCCTCCTGAGTAGCTGGGATGACAGGCGGGAGCCACCGGTGCCCGGCTAGGACCAATGTTTTCAAGGTATTTCCATTAGAAAATATAGTAAGGGCCACAGAGCTGCGAATTTTTGTCCCCATACAGTTAAAGACCTGCAGTACATAGGTGGAGAGTCAGCGGCTTCCTCGTGTGAATTCTGAAGGCCCAGAAACCCCAACTTGGAAACCAGCCAAGACCTTCATCGTGTCTTTCACACACAGAAAAAGCCAGAAGTGGCGCTGTGGCTCAAGTGGTAGAGCGCCAGCCTTGTGCAAAGGAAACCCAGAGAGTTCAAGCCCCAGGACTGGCCAAAAAAAAAAATTAGTTAACATAGAATTTGTGTAAGGAGAAAATCTAGAACGCAAGGCAAACTCAAGTTAAAAAACAAGCAAAAATCTCACAGGTGAGCTTTAGGAACGGAGCAAATCAGACCAATTGAAGAAAGTAGCTGACACTAGAGTAGATTTCTGCAGACCTCAGTTTGCAGGGAAGGGCAAAAGGTTCTGTCTCAAGTCTTAGAAAGTTCCAGAGCCATCTAGGAACTGTTGAAGGAAACCAGAGCTCCGATCCATAGAAAAGTCCCACCCTGAACAGAAAGTGCTGAGAGAGAATAGAGAGGAATAAAAGGAGCCAAGAGCTGGTGCTCCCGCCTGTCATCCCAGCGACTCAGAGTGTCTGAGATCTGAGGATCACGGTTCAAAGCCAGCCTGGGCAGGAAAGTCCATGAGACTCTGATCTCCAAGGAACCACCAGAAAACCAGAAGTGGCGCTGTGGCTCAAGTGGTAGACGCCAGCCTGGAGTGAAAGAGCTCAGGGACAGCGCCCAGGCCCTGAGTTCAAGCTCCAGGACTGGCACACACACACACACACACACACACACACACACACACACACACACACACACACAGGGAAAATTCCAGAAAAATCAGAAGGAAATGAGCAGAATATACTATGTCCCACCTTCTAATCCTCTTCGAACATACATGATTAACTTCTGGATGTATGCAAAAATATTTTCAACGGTTATAACTAGAATGGGCTTTTAGTTTTTAAAAAAGAACTCAATTTCTAAGTGTATCACATCAATGTGAACAAAGTCCAACTATGGAAAAGAAAAGTCCACATACAACGTGGCCATTAGAGTTCTGTTATCTTGGCTCACGAGTTCATCTCTACAACAGCACATCTCCAGAGGAGAATTTGAAGTTCATGGGGGAAAAACACAGAAACAAATATATATATATATATATATATATATACACACACACACACATATATGTATTTCAAAATTGGGTTCTAAATAAACACAGATGGCTCGTATTCCCTTCCAACGCACACACACACACACACACACACACACACACACATCTACCTAGCCAGCACAAGGACACAAATTGCACACAAGCCTCGTTGTCACCAGGGGATCTGACTTGCGGCAGTTGTTTTTCTGTTTTCTTTTCCTTTTGTGTCTCGTGTCTCCAGGAAGATAAAGGAGAGCCTGGACTGCTTCCCGGTGAAGCTGAATAACTTGATCCACATTCTTGCACAAATGGCAGCCGTCCACCCCAGCAAATCAGCCCCACACAGCTCGCCCCGGGAATCCTGGGTGCCAAAGACCACCCGGATGATTCGGCAAGCAACAATTTTGGGGTTCAGCAAGACTCACCCCCACCATGTAGGCCACAAGCCCGTCCTTCATGTACCCCAGCCTGCCTTTTCCCTTCCCCGGATTTTTCACTGAGCAAATGAAAACTGAGTTACAACTTGATGCTTTCAGCTGAACACCACTGGGGGCTCACGCCGGTCATCCCAGCTACTCAGGAGGCTGAGATCTGAGGATCATGGTTCGAGCCCAGACCGGGCAGGAAGATCCATGAGACTCTGATCTCCAATGAACCACGCAGAAAACTGGAAGTGGCGCTGTGGCTCAAGTGGTAGAGCACCAGTCTTGAGCTGAAGAGCTCAGGGACAGCGCTCAGGCCCTGAGTTCAAGTCCCACCAACTGCTCAGATGGCTGAGATCAGAACCCAGGGCCTCGTAGTCTAGCTTAGGGTTTTTTGTTTGTTTGTTTTTGTTTTGCCTAAGGGTAATGCTCTTCCACATGAGCCACACTTCCACTTCTAGCTTTTTGCTAGCTAACTGGAGATCAGGATGTCTCAGCTTTGGGTTGGGCAGGTGGCTCAGTGGTAGAGTGCTCGCCTAGCATGCATGAAGACCTGGGTTCGATTCCTCAGAACCACATACACAGAAAAAGCCAGAAATGAAGCTGTGACTCAAGTAGCAGAGCGCCAGCCTTGAGCAAAAAAGAAGCTCAGGGACAGCGCCCAGGCCCTGAGTTCAAGTTCCAGGACTGGCACATATATGAAAAGAAATTGACTACAGGTGCTATCTTTTTTTTTCAATTATGAGACTTGAACTCAGGGCCTGGGCGCTGTCCCTGAGCTCTTTACTCAAGGCTGGCGCTCTACCACTTGAGCCACAGCTCCATTTCTGGTTTTCTGCTGGTTCATGAGAGATAAGAGTCTCACAGACTTTCCTGCCCAGGGCTGTCTTTGAACCGTGATCCTCAGATCTCAGCCTCCTGAGTAGCTAGGATGACAGGTATGAGCCACCAGCACCCGGCTCCATGGCCATCTTTCGATTCTGATTTTGATTTTGATTTATTTTTTTTTTCTGCCTGTTTTGCTCCAGCTTTATCTGATCCAAGTGGTTGATGCTGACAAGGAAATCCACCTGACAGAAAAATCATTTGATCAGTTATCGAAACTTCACAGCCAACTGGAGAAGCAGTTTCCATCAATAACCCTCCCGGAGTAAGATACTGCACTTTTTTGTTTTCTTTTCCTGAAGACATTGTACTTTTAGGATGTTTTGTCTCTCATGCTTGTCCTTGAACCAAAGGAAAAGCTATGATGAGGGGTTTGGGTGGGGTTTTTTCCTCCTATGTGGTAGCAACACCATGTGCTTCAACACTGTTCAATCTGTCCCCAAGAGTCTATCCTGCTCTGAACAGAAAGAAGGCTTTGGCTCTTAAAGCAAAACACGTTTGGCAATTTTCTTTTCCCATTCAGCCATTGATTAGGCAGGCAGGAAAAGAAAATGGAAAAAAAGAAAAGAAAAAGAAAATAGAGACCCATTTCATGCTGGCCCCCATTATTGGACATGTTCTTGTGTTTTACTTGCTCGAAAATTGAATCTCCTGAAATTATTTCCCATTAAGATAAAATTGCAAACGAACATGCAGGATTTAACCAGTCGCGTGCTCTTTGGGATGGTAGCAGACTTTTCGTTTCAGTCCCAGAATTAAAAACAAATACATGAATGCTAGTTGCTTTCTCTTCCACCGCCATATTCCTGGCTACCAATCTTTAGCTTTCTAATTGTTCATTATAAAAACTGAGCTGGCTGCGTTTAATTTGTGATTGCGTTCATTTGAGAGCAATCAGGGGGAGAAATCGTTGCAACCATTCATGTCATAATGAAAACAATATTTTAAGGAATAAGCTATAATACAATGAAAATAAACAGTCCGTCTAACCTGAAAATTTTCCCTTTTAATGAGCTATGTTTAGATAATGGATTTCAATACAGAACAAAAGAATGAGTCTTATCTTAAAAAGATTCACTTATCCCCAAATTTATGGTATTGCCCTTAGGAAGGCTGAGTATATATATATATATATATTTGTGCCAGTCCTGGGGCTTGAACTCAGGGCCTGGGCACTGTCCCTGAGCTCTTTCACTCAAGGCTGGCGCTCTACCACTTGGGCCACAGCTCCACTTCTGGTTTTCTGCTGGTTCATTGTTGATCAGAGTCTCACAGACTTTCCTGCCTGGGCTAGCTTCTTAGAGGTCCCATGATTTAACCAGAATCTCAGTGGAGGTAAAAATAAATACTTGTGGCTGGTGCCAGAACTCACACCTGTCATCCCAGCTACTCAGGAGGCTGAGGTCTGAGGATCATGGTTCAAAGCCAGCCCAGGCAGGAAAATCCACAAGACTCATCTCCAATGAACAACCAAGAATCCAGAAGTACAGCTGTGGCTCATGTGGTAGAGTGCTAGCCTTGAGCAAACACAGCTCCAGGACCGTGCCCAGGCCCTGAATTCAAGTCCCAGGACTGTCCACACACACACACACACACACACACACACACACACACACACACACACACACACACACACACATTAATCCTTGATCAGTGGCCATCCATTCTTGACTTCCACCATTTGCTTAGTGAAGTAACATACAGAATTATGAAATTACCAGCCACTCTCCCTCCCTAGCCTTCTTCTCAGGGTTCAGACTAATTCGGGTTGTGTTCCACTCTCTGGCCAGGGACAGACATGGATATTTAAAAGCTGTTTGAAGGAATCGAGGGAGGAGAAGGGACCGCCTTCAGGTCTGACCCTTCTCTGAGTTCAGGGCTCACAGCTCTGCCTAGAAACGAACCAGGAGGGTGGAGTTTCCGCTGACTCCTGGGTTGGCTGACAGCTGCCCGGAGTCCATCAATCTCATCTGGGGGGAAAAACACACAAAAACAAAAGCCAACTATGATCAGAAAGCCAGTCAAGAAGAGTCACGCAGCAATTCTTCACAGTGCAGAGCCCCGGCCTTCCAATTGGCCTCTTTGTCTTTCTGGATATTTCCCAGACCTGCACAGAGCAGGAAGTTCTTCCAGCTTTTACAAATTCTGGAAGCTCTTCTGGAAGGGGCTTTTAAAAATGGTTCTGAGCCGGGCACTGGTGGCTCACGCCTATAATCCTAGCTACTCAGGAGGCTGAGATCTGAGGATCGTGGTTCAAAGCCAGCCCGGGCAGGAGAGACCGTGAGACTCCTATCTCCAATAAACCACCAGAAAACCGGAAGTGGCACAGTGGCTCAAGTGGTAGAGCGCTCGCCTTGAGCTGAAGAGCTGAGGGACAGCGCCCAGGCCCAGAGTTCAAGCCCTGACAAAAAAATAAATAAATAAAATTAAAAAAAGAAAAATGGTTCTGCTCAAAGAGGGGCAGATTCCTTCCTCTCCTCCATCTTCATCCCAGTAACCAGAATCTTTACATCATCCAAGGGTCTAAAAGTGCTCTGAGAACCAGAAAAGAGGCAAACCAAATTACTAGTATTAGAGCCGGGCATCGTTTTGTTTTTTGTCAGTCCTTGGGCTTGAACTCAGGGCCTGGGCACTGTCCCTGAATTTGTTTTGCTCAAGGCTGGTGTTCTACCACTTGAGCCACAGCACCACTTCCGGTTTTCTGGTGGCTCATTGGAGATCAGAGTCTCATGGACTTTCCTGCCTGGGCTGGCTTTGAACCATGATCCTCAGATCTCAGCCTCCTGGGTAGCTAGGATTATAGGTGTGCCCAACCCACACCCAGCCAGGCATAGTTTTTCATGCCTGTAGTTCCAGCCACTTGAGAAGCTAAAATAGGGGGACTACTGTTCAAGACCAGCCTGGGCAAATGTATATTAATAAGACCATAGGTTATCCTTTTGAGATATATGTTATATGTCTATTAAATTTTGTTTGTGTGCTGGTCCTAAAGTTTGAACTCAGGGCCTGGGCCTTTTGCTTAAGGCTTGTATTTTACCACTTGAGCCACAGTTCCACTTATGGCTTTTTGGTGGTTCATTAGGGTCAAGAGTCTCACACACTTGCCTGCCTGGGCTGGCTTAGAACTGTGATCCTCAGATCTCAGCCTCCTGAGTAGCTGGGACGACAGGCGTGAGCCACCAGCAACCGATTATACATTCTTGACTCATGGTATTGGTACTAATTTTATAATAACTAAATCCAGATGAAAATGTTTAGTCCATTAGAATTTAGGGCTTTTTTGCCAGTCCTGGGGCTTGAACTCAGGGCATGGGCGCTGTCCCTGAGTTTTGCTCAAGGCTGGTGCTCTACCACTTGAACCACAGCGCCACTTCTGGCTTTTTCTGTGTAGTGGTACTGAGGAATTGAACCCAGGGCTTCATGCATGTGAGGCGAGCACTCTACCGCTGAGCCACCTGCCCAGCCCCTAGAATTTAATATTTTGATCTGCCATAAACTCTTTTTTTATTAGAAGATAATGATCTAAATGTATTAACATTTTGTACTTCCTTGATATTTCTAACAAGAATCAATAAATGAGATAATAGAGCCACTTAGTTATAAATCTCACAAAAGAGAGGATGTACCTAGATGCCAGTAGCTCACGCCTGTCATCCCAGCTACTCAGGAGGCTGAGGTCTGAGGATCGCGGTTCAAAGCCAGCCTGGGCAGGAAAGTCCATGAGACTCTGATCTCCAATGAACTACCTGAAAACCGGAAATGGAGCTGGAGGCCAAAGTGGTAGAGTGCCAGCCTTGAGCACAAAGAGGCTCAGGGACAGCGCCTAGGCCCTGAGTTCAAGTCCCACGACCAGCACAGAGAGAGAGAGAGCAGACAGAGACAGAGAGACAGAGATCCGGAGGACAGTAATCAGAGGAACCCGTGGGGTGATTCCTAACTAGATAGGTTTTTGCAACAAAATGTGTCACAAATGTCCCTTCTAGGAACCGGTCCTGCTTGAGTCTAACTCGCCCCCAAGATGCAGCTTCAAATAGTGCAGAGCGAAGTGTATGAGTCACGAAAGCGCTACTGACTTTGTTTTCCAACAGCCTGCGGCCAGCTGGGAAGCAGATGTCACTTGGTAAATAGGCCTAATTTAATTAGCTCATTTATGTCTGTAGCAAGTCCGGAAGAAATCATATCATCTGAACTCTTTCTTGGGGGGGGCGGGGAGACCAAAACCAATAAACTGCGGGCTATTTAGTCAGCCCCCACATGGATGAAAAGAACAAACCACAAGGACGTATAAATTAATGTCCTGTTCGAGGCCATCAGGGGTTTGCTTCTGGACAGCTTGCCTACCCCGCACGACCCCAGTCCTGCCAGGAAAACGCCCGCAGACCGGCCCGTGAGCAGCTCCCGAGGCTCAGAGATGCATGTCCACGCCGTGACTCGATTTCCCCTCTCCGCCAGGTTCCCACACTGGTGGCACTTACCCTTCATGAGCTCGCCTCGCAAGAGATTCCGAGACCTGAACCGGTACCTGGAAGGAATAACAGGCGGATCGCGGGTCGTGGCCCACGTACGTATCGCAGGGGCCCGGCAGGGGTGTTGGACAGGTGCTAGATGCTTCCACCGAGAGTGCTGAGAAGGGCCTGGGGGAAATGCAGAGATGTTCTAGGCCCCTAATTCGGCCCCCATTGTGGTTTTACACACACACACCATGAACTCACAAAGCCAACGGATCGCCCCCATGCCCGGGGAATCCATCACCTTCTGTTCTATTCAGTGTTCCATTGGCCATGAGAATGAACCAGGAAGGGATCCTCTTCCAGAATCTTCTAGAATATTCCAGCTAGGAGGCTGGACATCTTGAATAACTTGGATATCTTGAATGACCACCAACCTGTTTCTAATAGTATTTATTCCTCTATGTCAAAGGGGAAGGAAGAGAAGAAAGGAGGAGAGAAAGAGGAAAGAAAGAAAGAGGCTGGGCGCTGGTGGCTCACGCCTGTCATCTTAGCTACTCAGGAAGCTAAGATCTAAGGATTCCTGTTCAAAGCCAGCCAGGGCAGGAAAGTCCCTGAGACTCTGATCTCCAATGAACCACCAGAAAAACGGAAATGGTACTGTGGCTCAAGTGGTAGAGCACCAGCCTTGAGCTGAAGAGCTGAGGGACAGCGCCCAGGCCCAGAGATCAAGCCCCACAACTGACAAAATAAAAAAGAAAGAAAGAAGGAAGGAAGGAAGGAAAGGGAGAGAGAGAAAGAAAGAAGGAAAGAGAGAGAGAAAGAAACAGAGAAGGGGGAAGGGAGGAAGAGGAGGAAAGGGAAGGAAGGAAGGAGGGAAAGAAGGAGGAAGGGAGGGAGGAAGGGAAGAAGGAAAGAAGGAAAGAAGGAAGGAAGGAAGGAAGGAAGGAAAGAAGGAAGGAAGGAAGGAAGGAAGGAAGCTACAACCTATAACATTATCATGCCTTAATGCTAAATTTCAAATTCAGGTTTCCAATATATGCTAAACTTATTTACTGTAACTATTTTAAAATATTCCATCTCATTATACATAACTCTGTAAAGATTTTTTTTTAATTTATATTGAGTTCTTGCTCTACGTGACTTCAGGTGAAAAATTTCAGATTTGCTTCAGAGAAGAAATTAGACAGATGAAGACAATGCAGGTTATACCCTCAATAAGTTTATAAGGTGGCCACAGTACAGACAAGAATATAAATAAAAGATGATGGTAAATTGGAGAAAGAAAAGAGAAAATGTACCTCAAATGGGAAATTGAACAGTTCCTTTTGCTTCTTAAACTTTTTTGTAGGGTGGTTTGTGGGACTTGAACTCACAGAGCTTTTTTTGCTTGAGGTTGGCGCTATACCACTTGAGCCACAGCTCCACTTCGGGCTTTTTGGTGGTTCATCGGAGATCAAAGAGTTTCCCAGACTTTCCTGCCCTGGCTGGCTTTGAACTGAGATCTCGGATTTCAACTTCTCTCTTGTACCTCTCCTTGGTAGAACTGTAAGGTGAACTAAATGGAATCTTTATAAAGAATATTACACACTCGTTATAAAACTTACAGCGACATGGGACCACGTTCAAGTTGATTGACTTACACAAATAGTCGGATGTGTTTGTTTTCTCTTAACATTTTTTCAGCTGTGTTCACCGGGATTTTTTTTTTAGCCTGTCTCAGTACTGTTACACACTCCTGAAAAGTCTGGTTAAGTAAGGAATGAGACCACTGGTGGTGTAAGCACTGTTTGGTGTTTCTTTTTTTCTTCTTCTTCTTCTTTTGAAGCAGAAATCCAGTGTTAGAATAAATCCAGATGAGTAGACCCATCTTAATACTGAGCACGTGCTGGGGTACTGTGGCTCACACCTATAATCCCAGCTACTTAGGCAACTGAGATGTGAGGATCGTGATTCCTGCCAGCCTGGGCAGGAAAACCTGTGAAGACTCTTTATCTCCCATCAAGCAGCAAAAAGCCGGAAGGGGAGGTATGGCTGAAGTGGTAGAGCACCAGCTGGAGTGAAAAACTGAGGAACAGTGCCCAGGCCATGAGTTCAAGCCCCAGGACTGACTCTCTCTCTCTCTCTCTCTCTCTCTCTCTCTCTCTCTCTCTCTCTCTCTCACACACACACACACACACACACACACACACACACACACAAATATAGTGAGCATAGGGATTCTTGTTTCCAGCTTGATGCGCCCAGATGTTAATCCTTCGTCAGTGAATTTCTACTTCTCGTAAGCTGCAGCCTACGTAGTTCGGATGTCACCACCAGCAGGATCGAGGTCTTGCGTGGGCAATCCGTGATGCCAGGCGTATTTCTCAGTCTGGTCAAGCTCTGGTGACGCTGGAGAGTCAGAGTCACAGACGATTCTTTAGAAGCTGACAGCTTTCTTCTTCGAGTCCATGCGTGGAACTCTAACTCGAATGCATACTCAGAACAGCGCCTCGGGCCAGACATCTTAATAAGTTACCTTATGAAGGAGGCAGTAACACGCAATTACTGTTCAGCTGTGATTTAAAAAGTCTCACGGGAGTTTCTTAAATTCCCATTTTCACAGCCTTTCCTGGTATCTGAGGTGGGGGGCAGGAAGGAGGGAAGAGATTTGGCTTATTGTTTTAACTCATAAAACTGAATCTTTCCACCCATTCTGAATGTTGGCTGGGCCAGTTAATAAATGGGAGCATTTCAGATGCTGTTTGAGGGAAAAGAAAAATGAATCTCAGCGTTGTATTCCATTTATTCCAGTCTGGATGAAGGCTTTAATCTTTTTTCTATAATTATGTTGGTAACCAGAATACATTCAGATGATTTAGGGGGAAACCAGTTAGGTTTTATATCGATCTACTGGCAAAGAAAGAAAAAAAAGATCGATCGTTTTAAATTACAGATGATTTAATATAATTGGTAAACAAAATATGAATAAGAATGTTAAGCAACCCCAAACAGCCACTGATGAGGACTTGAATTTAAAACTGTTCCGTTCACCTCCACAGCAGTTCTTCATTATCTGAAAAGCTGTTGTTGGTTTGTTAGTTTGCTTGTTTCATTTAAAAGCAGTTAGGGGCTGGGCAGGTGGCTCAGTGGTAGAGTGCTCGCCTAGCATGCATGAAGCCCTGGGTTCAATTCCTCAGTACCACAGATAGAGAAAAAGCCAGAGGTGGCGCTGTGGCTCAAGCGGTAGAGCGCCAGCCAGGAGTAAAAGAAGCTCAGGGACAGTGCCCAGGCCCTGAGTTCAAGGCCCAGGACTGGCACCAAAAACAAACAAACAAAAAGGAAACCATGAAGTAATCAGTTTCCTGAATGTGGATAGATTTCTCAAAAACAGGGTCATATTGAACAACCTTAGAAGTGATCATCGTATGGAGAGAAGAGAATTGATACCTGGTTAATTTATGATGATAGATAGAGATAGATGGCTGGGTGGATGAGAATATTTGCGTTCGTAACGGACGTGATTAATATTTGAAGACAGGTCTTGTGTCTTTCGATGACAAGTATTGATCGGCCAGAAATCCTGCATTATCTATGAAGCTCAGTCTTGAAAGCTCACTGATTAACCAAGTGAGGAAAGATTGTGTGACAACCTGGGGAGGATTAGAAGCTCAGGGTTGGTGAGCACATGAGCGAAAAGCTCTCACAGACTTCTAGAATAATCATGTACGAGCTGGGTGCCAATGGCTCCCGCCTGTCATCCCAGCTACTCAGGAGGCTGAGATCTGAGAATCACGGTTCAAGGCCAGCCCAGGCAGGAAAGTCCGTGAGACTCTGATCTCCCATGAACCATCAGAAAACCAAAAATGGTGCCGTGGCTCACGTGGTAGAGCACCAACCTTGAGCAAAAAATAAAATAAAAAACTCAGGGACAAGGCCCAGGCCCTGAGTTCAAGCCCAAGAACTGGCACAATAAAAGCACACGTGCACAGCAATATTCTCAAGGAACAGCCGATAAGAATAGCAAATAGACAGAAGAAATGAATAAATATGCATGTTGTCTTGTCTTTCAGAGTGATTGTGTGCTCAGCTTCTTTCTCTCTGAGCCTGTACAACAAACAATTGAAGAATCTTCACTTGTGGACCTAAGTAAGTAAATTCACCATAATTCACTAATAGATGATAGATACATAGATCGAGAGATAGATAGACAGATGCAGAGATAGAGATGGATAGATGATAGACACTTAAAAAGACAGATGATGGATAGATAGATAGAAAGGAAGATAGGTTAAGAGATAGATGATAGATACATAGAGAGATAGACAGATAGATAGACACAGAGATACAGAGATGGATAGATGATCGACACTTAAAAAGACAGATGATGGATAGATTGATGGATAGATAGACAGATAGATAGATAGATAGATAGGTTAAGAGATAGATAGATGATAGATACATAGACACTTAGAAAGATAGATGATAGATAGATAGATAGATAGATAGATAGATAGATAGATAGATAGATAGATGGATAGATAGATAGATGGATAGATAGATGGATGGAAGGTAGGTATGTAGATAGATTAGATAGATAGATAGATACATACATACATACATAGATGGATAGTTGGGTAGATAGATGGATGGATAGATAGATAGATAGATAGATAGATAGATAGATAGATAGATAGATAGATAGATAGATAGATAGATAGATAGATAGATAGGTGACCTCCATTTAACCACAGAAAAAGCCAGAAGTGGAGCTGTGGCTCAAGCAGTAGAGCACCAGCCCTGAGCAAAAAAGCTTAGGGACAGCCCAAGGCCTGAGTTCAAGCCTCAGGACTGGTGCACACACACACACACACACACACACACACACACATGAACCGTTGGAGTGGGGTGGGATGAAAGGAATGGCTAGGATGTCTAGCTCTGGCTGCATGGATGATTGAGCCACGCTGGAGGACCGTGGCGCGTTGCATGGATGATTGAGCCACGCCGGGGGACCGTGGTGCGGGACAGCATTTGCACGGGGCCTGAAGCGTCTCTCCCACGCGCGCTTTGTCTCAGGCCCTGGGCGTTGGCAAAGCCCCGTGGTGTGGGACCCCCCAGTGATTCTGTGAATTTCCACCGTTTCCTGTCAGGTCAGGAGCCATCAGACAAGACCCCCAGGGTGCAGCTGCTCATGTCGCATGAGGACTCGAAGCTGACCATCCTGGTGAAGCACATGAAGAACGTCGTAAGTAGGGAACTAACTGTCTTGCCCATGTAAGCCAGAGAGTATCCGCGTAGTAAGCCGGCTGTCCGGGTGTCCGGATCAAGGAAGTCCCCATGCTTTTATCTCAAGATTGTCACCGTCCTCTGATGTAAGATTATGCACTATGTTATTTTTGGCCAGTCCTGGGACTTGAACTTGGGGCCTTAGACCATCCCTGAGCTCTTCAGCTCAAGGCTGGTGCTCTACCCCTTGAGCCACAGCGCCACTTCCTGGTTTTCTGGTGGTTCATCGGAGATGAGCGTCTCACAGACTTTCCTGCCCAGGCTGGCTTTGAACCTTGATCCTCAGATCTCAGCCTCCTGAGTAGGCTGAGCCTGGCTGCTTATGCGCTATTGCATGGAGGAGGGGGAATCCTAAGAGAAAAATTAGATTTGTGTCATCGGTTAATTGTCAAGAAAAGGATCACCAGCCAGCTGTAAGAAGGTAGAAATGGCTGAGGATAGAGGGCTTGGCCCTTTCAAGAACAAAGCTGGGGGGGCTGGGGCTGGGGCTCAGTGGTAGAGTGCTCACCTAGCGTGCATGAGGTCCTGGGTTCGATTCCTCAGTCGCAGATACACAGAAAAAGCCAGAAGTGGCGCTGTGGCTCAAGTGGTAGAGCGCTAGCCTTGAGCAAAAGAAGCGCAGGGACAGCGCCCAGGCCCTGAGTTCAAGACCCAGGACCGGAAGGGAAATAAGACACACACACACACACACACACACACATATCATTTATATTTACACATACACTGTACATAAGTTCTTTTAACTTAACATTTCTTGCTATTCTATTGTTTTATCCCATGCTTAAAATCATAGAGATTGATGTACTCATAAGTAATATCAGACCGAGTCTTCATTTCTCAACATATGAGCTTCTTCAAAAACTGTTAGTCTCATTCAAGATGGCTTTATGTTTAAATACATGTTATAAGGTTAATATGATTTCCTTAGCCTTCAAAGTCATCCAGTTAGAAAGTGGATAGTTGCTTCAGGAAGGTTGCCACTCCTTAGAACGTTCTGGAAAATTGCCTATTGAAGTTGCTTTCCCTGGCAAATAAATCATCATCAACGTGGCAACATTATTCGACGGCCAGGCCTGGTTTTTGATCAAAGGCCGTGTTAACCCCCTTGGCTGCCCATTCCCCTCCCCTGGACAAATTCCCAAATCGCCTTTGACAGCTTCCAGAATTGCATTTTACGCTCGGATGGAGTTGCGCTACCAGTGGGGTGTGGAAAAGGAATCTGAGACAGGCCTTGAGGGTGGAGAAACAGAGAAAAAGCAAGAGAGGGACAGTCAGAGACAGAGAGAGAGAGAGACAGAGACAGAAACAAGACAGTTGGAGAGAGAGACAGAAAAAGAGACACAGAGAGAGAAGCAGATGGAGAGAATTGAGACAGAGAAAGACAGAGACACAGAGACACAGATGAAGACAGACACAGAGACAGAGAGAAACAGATGGAGAGAAAGACAGAGAGACAGAGAGAAACATGGAGAGACGGAGAGAGACAGAGAGACAGGGAAACAAATGGAAAGAAAGACAGAGAGAGTAGAGAAATAGAGACAGAGAGACAAGAGACAGAGACAGACTGGTGTATACAGTCATGGGCAAAAGTGGTGCTGTGGCTCAAGTGGTAGAGTGCCAGCCTTGAACTGAAGACCATAGGGACAGCGCCCAGGCCCTGAGTTCAAGCCCCACGACCGACAAATTAAAAACAATTAAAGTCATGGGCAAATGGCCCATGTCTCACCCCCAGTGACGGTTGAGAACAATATGGCGGCAGGTGGAGCCTGCCAACATTGCTCTTTTTTGTTGCAGATTGCTTGGTTTCTTCGTGTGTGTGTGTGTGTGTGTGTGTGTGTGTGTGTGTGTGTGTGTGTGTAAGAGCAATGAACTTTCAAAGTCTTTGAAGGCAGAAAGTATTCTGATCCCTCTCTGTCTCCCTATCTCTGTCTCTGTCTCTCTGTCTCTGTCTCTCTTTCTCTGTCTCTGTCTCTAGGTCTTTGTCTCTGTCTCTCTGTCCCTTGGTCTGTATGTCTGTCGCTCTTTCTTTGTCTCTATCTCTGTCTCTCTGTCTCTGTCTCTGTCTCTTCCTCTATCTCTCTCTTTGTCTCTCTGTCTCTGTCTCTCAGTCTTTGACTCTGTCTCTCTGTCTCTTGTCTCTCTCTGTCTCTTGGTCTTTGTCTCTCTGTCTCTCTATCCCGTGGTCTCTGTCTCTCTGTCTCTTGTCTTTCTTTGTCTCTCTCTGTGTATCTCTCTGTCTCTGTCTCTCTCTTTGTCTCTGTCTTTCTGTCTCTGTCTCTTGGTCTTTCTCTCTGTTTCTCTTTCTGTCTGCCTCTGTCTCTTGGTCTTTGGTTCTTTCTATGTCTCTCCATCTATCTGTCTCTCTGTCTCTGTCTCTCTGTGTCTCAGCCGATGAACAGTGCTAGATGCCGACAAGTAGATGTTTCAGTCTCTGGTCTCATCCTTCACCTACCTGTGATCTGTGTCCGGTGTTGGTGTGTGGAGGTGCTGGGGACAGGTTTCACTTGTGTTTGAACCCCTGACTTCACACCAGGCGTGGGAAAGGGCACGCCCACACACAAGTCATTGTGCTCCTGTACGTATCTTTAACACACGCTCTCCTTTCATAAAAGGACCTTTCTTTGTTCTTTTCTGAATGGCCGGCCTGCGCTTCAGTATTGCAATTTGGCATGCTCACAGACCAGAAGTGCTTTTTGTCGGGTGTGTGTGTGTGTGTGTGTGTGTGTGTGTGTGTGTGTGTGTGTGTGTGTGTGTGTGTGATGTTCAGTTTCTGGCATTGACCTCCAGTTTTGATCATTTTCTCATATTCTAGTCATTGTCCAATGATTATTTCTTTTCCTCTAAAGTTGCAAATGTTTAAACAAAGAAAAACCAAAAAAAATGGATGGGAAACTTCTCATAAATTATTCATGGGAAGATAATGACCTATTAAATTCAGTGAAGCCTGGGGTTCACTTACAAGAGGTCCGGAAGTGTCTGCTGTCTTTAAACCTCTTTACCTTCAAATTATTCATATTCTTTAGAAAACTTGATCTGGAATGGCTCTGAATTCTTTGCCTTTTTTTCTTTTTCTTTTTGGTAAAGCATCAGAATAGGGCCATGGGTTTTATAAGGGAAAAAAAAAACCTCCAATAAAATCTTGACAATAATACCGTCTTGAGTCTGACACCAATGGCTCCCGCCTGGCATCCCAGCTGCTCAGGAAGCTGAGATCTGAGGATCGTGGTTCAAGGCCAGCCCGGGCAGGAAAGTCCGTGAGACTCTGCTCTCCAACAAACCACCAGAAAACCAGAAGTGGTGCTGTGGCTCAAATGGTAGAGCACCAGCCTTGAGTGAAAGAGCTCAGGGACAGCACCCAGGCCCTGAGGTCAAAAGAAAAATCTCTAGTAACATGAGAAAATGTCTCATTGTTCAGCCTGAGAATTTGCCAGATGGAGAATTCTCCATTCCCAAACTTGCTGACTTCTTTGTCTCTTCCAGGTTCTCTGTATGAGTACATTAAAGTCTTTGCAAAGGTCATGAGACAGCCAAAGTTGTTAAAATTAAATACAATAAAACTCAAGGTAAAAAGACAGCTGGACAAGTGGGGGTTATTTAATCATTTTAAAGTAAAATGATGGCATGCACATAAAGTAAAATTTGCATCGATGGAGGGGCAGGGAGGAGAATGAGGAGAAGAGAGCTAGTGATTTCTTTGGTAAATTGTGGGAGATGTTGATGGATCAGGATTTGCTGGGGGGGGAGGGGGGGAGAATGATATTGAAAAGCTACATGAAAGTGGGGGAAATTTTCTCCTGACCCTTGAGAAACCAATGTCAGCATTTAAAGCTGTTGAAGTCCCTTTCGAACCCTGCTGCCCGTGGCCCATGCACCCAGGTCTTAAAGGGAAATCTATGTTCTTCTATCATTCTATAAAAAGACTCCAGGATATTCAAGGTCGAGTCAAGGACACTGACTCCAACATAGAAGCCCAATGCTCCAACATGGCTAAAAGACAAAAAGAATGCTTGGTATAGATGGATGCACTAAAGAATTTCCTTTTCCCCTCTACTCTTACTTTGACTCGCTCCTCCAGGCAACCCGTAGTTGGTAGAAAATTCGCGAAAGGAAGGGATGTGATCAAATCGGCTTCATGAGAAAGTTGAAACTCATTCAAGAGATGAAGAATAAAGGGAGGATGGAGAAGAGGGAAGGATTCAAAGATGATTCAAATCCTTTCTGACCCCCGGGGTAGGGGAGTCTATGCCTGTCATCCCAGCTGCTACTCAGGAGACTGAGATCTGAGGATCATGGTTAGAGGTCAGCCTGGGCAGGAAAGTCTGATCTCCAATGAGCCACCCAAAAAAAAAGCAGAAGTGGAGCTGTGACTCAAGTGGTAGAGCAC